GGGGATGCTACTGAGGAGCTGGTGGCAGTTCTGAGCTCATGGAGCCTGACCACGGGGCACAAAACCAGGCAGAGACCCCCACGTAGCCTAGAGCACAGGTGGTTGCAGAAGATGGTGCACTCGCCGCAGGGGGAGATACAAACCTCTATTCTGTTTGCTTTTTAACCCTCCTTCAACATGGCGTAGGTTTTGCAATATCCACAGTGCATTAGTTCAGCGGCGCGTGCATGTACTTTATAGACGTCTGCACTGGGGCGCGTGCTCAGCGCTGAGGGGTGACAGGGCGCCGTCACCAGCGTCTGGTGCGGACGGGCAGCCGTCGGAAGAGTCTGCTTTCCTGTCGTCCCCCTCTTATTCTCTGCGTTGCTGCTTTACGCACGCTCGGGCTGACCGGGGGTCCCCGAGCTACTCGCACGCCGGTTCCACCACTAAGCCTAAACCCGGGGCAAGTCCCTGTCATGTTTGGGAACCTGGGAATGGCACCTGCTCTCCCAGGACGTGCTACGTGGAGATTCCCATGTATCCTAAAGCCTGTCACACAAAAGCACCACCAACCACGGAATAAAGACGACAGCGGATAAGACAAAACTGTGAGAGCTTGAGAACAGCCACTGGAGAAACCCATTAACTGTAAGAAAAACTCAAACCCGGGACCACACGGCCGCAGGCAGGTGAGGTCGAAAATGAGTGAGAAGCTGCATTTTTCTTTTTAAAAAGTGGGCATGTAGTCCCTGGGGCTCGTTTTCAGAAAAGAAAAAAAAATTATTTTCAGTGGGTTGAGGTTTGCACAAAAACTATGGAATTTTTTTTTTTTTTTTGAGGCAATATTTTTCTTTTTCATGAGTATTTGACTCCAGTGGCTAGAAGTTGGAACAATTTCTACTTGGCCCAAAGCAGTGTATCGTGACCTGTAAATTCATTCCCTCGTAACTCGAGACCTCGTCTTACCTTCCTGGGAAACACTCCGCAGGTACACTGTGTGACTCGAGAGGGACGAAGTGACTTCAAGCTCCTACAGAATCCAGGCGGGCTTTGCCATAATCGTTCTGGTATGTAGTCTGCTTCTTCATGGGCTCCCCAGGGACTAGGGGACATAAGGGAAGGAAAGGCTCAGAGGCTGTCACCGAGCAGAGAACTCCCGCCCTTATTTGTTGAGGATGGCCCGGCCCGTGAGCCCAGCCTGGTACGCACGCAGCAGCCTTTAAGGGAAGGGGGTTGGGGGGGGCGCTGCTGGGGGGTGGGGAGTGGAGATGATGTTGGCCAAGAGGTTGCATCTGATCCCCGTTTTCAGAGAAGTTGTTCTCCCTGGAGCCCGCTCTCCTGCAGGTCAGCAGGCCAGGACGGCAGGCTTCGCCCCCTGCTTCGTAAACAAAGGCCCTCTCCTTTCGTGCCACATCCTGGGTAGACCTGGCTGGGTGTGCTCCGGGGCCTCCCCCAGGGACCCAGGTGTCTTGGGACGGGCAGTTAGGAAGAAGGCTGGCAGCTGCAGTCAGCATCACTGCACGTGCAGACTAATGGGGGTGTGGGGGGCAGGCAGGACCCAATCATTTATATCTCATCCCGATTGTTGCTCGTTTTACGTGGGTCCTGATGGTTGTGGAATTATCCTTAAAAAAGTGAAGACGGTGTGAGAACTTGTCCAGTCTTTGTAAACCTTAAGGACGCCTTAAATACTGCTTTCAGTTCCGGGTGTCTCCTGTCAAAGGACCGCCGGCCAGATGGAGGGGCCGAGCTGGGGAGGGGACTGGACACCACATCTGAGAAACGTGTTGGTAGAATCCGGAAATGCTTTCAGTGGAGGAAACTTAGAAGGCATATACTAAGGTTTTCACAGAATGATAGATGTAGACGGGTTAACTTCTGGAAAGAAGAGAGCCCAAGGCCAGAAGTCGAGCAAGGAAGAGCTGAACCATCTAAGAAAGAAGGCACCATCTTGGGGAGAGGCGCTCCTCTGAAGAGCTTGAGCAGGAAGGATATCACCCCTTGGCAAGGATGGGACAAGGTGACTCACGCGTGACGCGAGGACCTAGACCAGGTAACTTCTTGGCTACCTTCTAACTCCAAGATGCTAAGCTTCCATTCTGTGACTTCTCTCTAAAGTATTACTTGGTCCCCACTCCATGTCGGGGAATAATCGCTATCTCAGACTGACACCCCATTATCCTCTTCGCCTGTGGCTTGGAGGTGGCTGGGTCACGGAACTTTCAAAAACTTTTCTGTTGAAAACAATAGGAGTGTCGATCGCAAAAAAATGACTCAGAATGAATGCTAAATCTGAGGGTACGCCTTGTGGATAAACTTTCAGCAAATAGTGGACAAGACCAGTTTGATCCCCACCTAATCTCTTCCCCTTTCATTTTATAAGCAAGGATGGGGGTCCCCCAATCCCAACACCGGCCCCTCCCAGGTGGAGGATGTACTCATTTCTCACCACGAGCTATCCGTTCTCTTCCGAGACTCACTCCCTGAGTCTGAGGCTAAGCGCAAAGAGGCATAGTTTTAATTCCACATGGGGGTCGCTGGCAGTCTCCACGATTCTCATCAAGGTCTGGAGGAATCTTGGAGCAAGGAATGGAATCTACAAAGTTGCTTTAAAAGCCACAGGTGTACTCACCTGGACCATGAGAAGCCATTGGGAGGCTTGAGGAGCATCTGTATTTGAACCCCAAATCCTGAAACTCAGGAATTTTAGCTGGAACTTGGTAATTCCGTCGAAATTCAGTGTCTGCGGGATGCGGAAGTACCTTTTTCCATTCCGGAAACATCTGGGAACTTTGCTTAATCTTCTGAGCTGGGGAGGGGGTAGAAACCGAAAGAAACACTTATTCCCTGTAAGCTATTTCTAAATCGCATCATATTTCCATTCCATTTTGCTTCTGGCAGTAGCTTCCAATTGATCACACCAAAACCCATTCTTTTTGTATCGAGAGGTATGGTCAGGGTACTTTTTAAGGATATTCCAACCAAGAAATCATTTTCTGCTTTATCGGGCACAGGAAGTACATGCTCAAGGGGCTAGAAGCAGTTACTAAATATATCGTGTGTCAGTTAAAGGCACTCGTTTGCTCTGCTCTGTGGACACAGAAGGTACTTCTCACTCCAGCAGGCTGGCCTCGTCCATGGGGCAGGAGCAGGCAGCAGAGCAAGAGAATTTAGATAGGGCCAGGTCACCGTATAAAACGTAGGACACCAGTTCCATTTGAATTTCAGATAAATAGCGAATCATTTTTCAGTGTAAGATTGTGTAGGTACTCGTTATTCGTCTACGATATATTGTTCTTCAAATTTAACGGGGCACTCGGTATTTTTATTTGCTGTGTCTGGCAGACCTAAGTGGGACAGTGCATATCATCCCTATCACCTGGAGAAGAACCCCACAGAGCTTGTCCCTTACTGATGGAAGGTTAGGTAACTCCATTGTCACCAGGGGATAATAGCTCTATCGTTTCTTTGAAATAACTGCTAAAAAAAAATCATCAGATTTATAATCATTAAATATTTATTAAGCACTGACTAGATGTCAGGATCCACAAGCACCACCAGACTACAGAAGAGAGAGTCATTGGCATCTCACTTAGACGGGGTTTACCCTTAATTCTTGCTTCGAAGTGTTCGTTTAGAGGCACATCGTGCGACCCCAGCTTTATTCAGGGTGCAGATGTTGAAAACATGGATTTCACGAACAATGTCTGAACGGTGCCAATTACTATGACACCAAACTCAGGGTGAATTACTAGGACACCAGATTCTAGGTCTTTTCAAAGTAAAATCAAATGTACATTGTAAATCAAACAATATGTGATGTCATCTACTGTCACCCAAGAGCGTTTTATCAGTGATTTTTAAAAAATGATCTTTGTGTAGATCCGCATGCTCTTAATTTAGATGATTCAGGACGAGAGGGCGTGGGTGATGATGATGAACCTGTAAACTGCCCAAGGAGATGACAAGGTCACAGAGATATCTTTCTTTAGATATTTTGGCAGACCATCTGGCCTTGTTGTAGCAAGCATCATCCATCACTTGGGTTTGTAAATTATGAACAGCTTTACAGAGCCAAACCGATTGAAATACTTGATGCATCTGCCCAACCCCATTCCTGAGAGAGACTACTCTAAAGCAAATGTGTTCACTTCCTGCATGTGTTCTGTGCCAAGTTTAAAGATAATTAAATCGTCGTTCTACCTTGAGATGACCTCGGACGAGTGTGACTAGAAAGGTACGTGGAGGACAAACACGTATGGAATGCGACATCTTGCAGCTGTAACACCGGGCTGCTGTTTCTAAATTATACCTCCTGAAGCTCACCCGAGATATTGAGAATCTCTGGAAGTGGGACCCAGGTGCTTATATGGTGGACAAGTTTCTCATCGGCTTAAGAAGCACTGACCCAGAGAGAGTACGATGAGCTCTGTCGGATGAAGGGAAGGAAGGCAAGGACGAGAAGGCAGACCCAGCTTGGTTGGCACTGAAGCACATTGCACCCGTGAGATGCAGTCGGGTTTGGGGATGGGAGGGGTGCAGGCAGGGAGGGGTCGCTGGGGTGGGGTAGGAACAGGCTGTGAAGGTCCAGGGGCTTGGTCTGCGTGGACCAGGCTGGACCGGCGGAGAAGTACAGTAAGTGGTGATCAAGACCTAGAAACAGAGCAGTTGCTCAGAGTTCCTTTGAAAATAAAATTTAAGTTGTAATTTTCATCGATCCTTAATACTTGGCACAGTAATAGACCTCGTTAAATACTTACTAAATGAACGAATGAACGAAAGAAAAAAATTTAGAACGAAATGGCTGCGGATTAGCGATTATTCTGAACCGCACCCTCGTGACTGCCTATGTGATATAGTCTTAAAATAATTCAGTTCTTCTCAATGAATGCTTTTATTGTTTTTATTAAACTGCATTCCTGAGTTCCTTTGGCTTTATTAGGGAGAGACGGTCTTGAAAGGGACCGAACCAACATCTGAAGTCTCCATGGGGTCTTGAGTATAGACAGACAGAAAGACCGTGAACCATTGCTCACCTGGCCCACTGCTGACCATACCCTCAAGGCCCAGACTCCTCCAGGGGACCATTCCTGCCCTTCAGAGCCTCCAGTCCCACTGGCTTCCTTTCCGCTTGATAATGGTGACATGTTCCATAGTACGTGTGGCCCAAAGACAGACGCTGGCCCTTTAAAGCGTAGGAATGGCATGCATTGGAAGGCCTACCCCAAAGTAAATCTATGGCTAGGATGATTCAAAATCACTAGGACTCTCGGCCCATCATCCACAGCCATGGGAGAACCAGTTCTGGTATCTCGATCCACTGTTCTCAATCACCCAGGCTGAGTTCTCCAAGCCTGGATGCGAAACCAACCACCCGTTAGTGCTTCTGACTCCTTCACCTTAATTCAATAATGAGGACACTCAGGCACGACCTGGTCCCTGTGCTTCAGAAGCTTAAAGTAGGAGCGAAACAGATACAAAAGAAGATAATTACGATATTTATTATGTGACAAATGCTGCAGAAGTAGTTACGGAGAGGATCTATAAAAACACACGGGAGGGCCACGGACGCCAAGTTGGGGGACCAGAGAAGACCCTGGGAGGAAATGAAGCTTTACCTTTAGGCTGAAGTTACGGACAGACATGAGCTAAAAGGAGGAAAGGTAGGAGGCGGCGTTCCACGGGGAGGCAGAGGTGCGTGTGAAGGCGGGAGGCCGCAGGGCAGTTCATCTCACAGCGTGGGGGCCGGAGAGGAGATGCTGGGCGGTGGCAGGGAGCAGATTAGACAGAGATGCTGAGGACAGCGGGCGATGTCAAGTGGCACATCGGGAAACTCACTATGGCAGAGTGTGGATGGACAGTGGACTCAAGGTTACAGCACCAGAAGAGGAAGTTGACTGAGAGGTCATCCAAGGGAGAGACAGGAGCAGCCTGAACTGAGGCAGTGGCTGTGGGCACGAGAGGAGCAGATGGAGCGAAGAGATTTAGGAGGGCGTCTTGACAGGTCTTGGGTATTTATCTGCACATGGGGACAGGGCGATCTGCCCGTGTCGAAAGGACAACTTTGATCGGAACCTCAAAGACATCTTTGAGGGATGCTGGCCTTTCAGATGTTCCTCTGTGACCCTTCATGTTTGTCTGCAGTGTGTGGGTGTGTGTGTGGGTTGGGGGGGTCTTTCGATTCCTCACCAGAGGTGTATTCAGCTCAAAACTGAACCACAGGAGCTCTGGATTCTGGGACACCAGGAACAGTAGAAGGGTATAGTGAGGGGCTGGACTGGAAAAGAGAGGGTTCTTCTATGAGAATCTGCTCATCCCTCCCCCGGTCCTGCTCCCAGAAAGCCAACAGCCAAACGTTTACCTCGCTGGAAAAAGTGATCAACAAATACTGGCATTGGTGGGGTGGGGTGGGGTTTCCCAACATAAAGAGAGCTCACCACCTAGGTCGAGGACCGGCCCCTAAGCCCCACCTCTGCATGTAGTTTGTAATCGGGACCTCCAGCCACTCCAACCGGCACCTCCCTGGTCGGTGTTGTGGGCCCTGGAGCTTCATATCTGGGGTAAACCCACTTTCCTAAAAGAAGAGCCCATAGAAGTGAGACGGAAGCTTCATCAAAAATCTGCCTCCACCCCCCTTGCAGATGTGAACAGAAAACCAAAATCTCATTTGACCCTTAAGACATTCAGAGGAAACAGACATGATGCAAGGAACACATGAAAACACTGAAAACTATATCATAAGTATCCTCGAATTTGTAATAATTACGACATCTATAAAACAAGAACAGAATGCCATTAAAAAGAAATAATCAGAAAGAAGAAAGACAGCTTGGAATTGAAAAGCATGAGCGCCGAAATGGAAAAGTCAGTATAAGAATTATATTAAAAAGTTAACGGTGTTTCAAATAAACGTAATAAAGGTACGAAGAGAAAGATCCTAGCAGAGAAAAAGTAAGAAAATCACACACGTTATAAAATGTCACAATGTCAAAAAATAAAGAGCTGATTTTAAAAGCTTCCAGGAAAGAAAAAAAAAAATACGAACGGGCCAGGAATCAAAACGGCATCAGAATTCTACATAGAAATCCTGGGTGCCAGACGTCGGTGAAAAGAGCGTCTTCCGAGGGACCGTGACTGTCACCCTAGCAGGACAGCCACACTATCGAACACATGTAAGGAAGGAGAAAGGACGTTTCCAGATCAGGAGGAGCACACGCAGAAGTGTTCCTCCCACGCGCCTTTCATAGGAAGCTACTGGAGGATGCGCTTCAAAAAAACGAGGGTGGGGGACAAGGCAGAGGAAGATGTGGACTCAGGAAACGGGATTCGGGGCAGGCGGAGGCCCAAGAAACGCCTAGAATGGTGAAAAAGGAAGTCCCAGGGCGCAGGTGGCACAGGCAGGAGGCAAATCTACCTAGCGACTCCTCGAAACTGAGGGGGACTGATGGAGGGTGGCAGAAGAAAATCTTAGAGTATGACAAAGTATTTGGAAAAAGTCACAGGCATGTAGAAAACCAAGCAAATGAAGAAACCATCAACTATTAACTCCGGTAAAAACAAAACGAAACGAAACCCAAAAGAAAACAAAAGGTAAGAGAAAATATAATTCTAAAATACCAACTGGTTCAGCAATAAATGTTGACATAATCATAATATATCATATTGCCATAATCATAACATTAACCCTAGCGATTGAATGAACCAAACGTTTGGAAAGTCACTGGATCGAGGCGATGGCTGGAGGAAGTCAGCGGTGACGCCTAAAATTGACGGATTGAACAACAGCAGCATAAACACGTTATTTTAAAACACGGAGAAGAAACGGTCTGGAGGTGACCGCGGATGGGACGTGGGGCTGGGAGTGAGTGGGAGGGGCGGGCGCAGGGACCGCGGGCAGCTGCGTTTTCGTACATGCACGTGTGGGCTCCATCGAAGGCTTAATTTTTAAAAGCAGTAACCGAGCGGTTAAGAATTGGCAACAGCCCATGGGACTCGATCCCTTCATCGGCACTCGGCTAGGGGTCCCGACCCTTCAGCCCAAGAAGCCTTTCATGACCTTCCTCCTCGCCTTTGGCTAGATGTCCTACCGTACGCCCCGCAGCAGCCTGCGTTTTCCCGCAAAGTGCCCCTTCTATAACTTGACCGTTTCCCTCGGTAACTTGCCCTTTCCCGCGTGGACACTGCGAGATCCGCGATGTGACTCCGGCGCGTCGCGCCTCGGCGGAGAAAGGGGCTCGCTCACCTTCGGCTCTGTCCACAAAGTCCTGCTTCGTGTGGGAGATAAACTGGTTCGCCAAGGCCTTCCTGACCTCGTCCACGGCAGCGGCACTTTTCCGAAGGAGGTAGATCCTCTGTGACACCTCGTGACCCGGAGGTAGTGTCCAGTGGAGGAGGTCCTGTCGACACAAACGTGACATTGGAGAAGAGGTGACGGCTTCCCCTGCTGGAATGAAGACCGCGCGTGCCTGCGTGTGCGCCTGTGAGTGTGCCCGCACGCGCAGATCCTTCTCAGCCCTTTACACCCGGTGCCACCCTGCAGACGTCCTGTGCGCAGGAGCCAACAGTTCCCCAGCTGCAACTCAGGCCCTTCGTCCCTTCCTTTACTTCCTGTCGGTGAAAGAAAATGTGATCGCATAGAGCAAAGCATTGTGCCTCCACCCAGACATCGTAGGTCTGTGACTTCTGTGAGTTGTCACTCTGGCCGCACGCGCACCCCGCCGGGAGCCCCAGGGCCTCTCCCCGCTCTGCCTTGAAGAGATTTTTGTGATGACAAACTTGAAACCTCCACTGCCTTTTCTCATCTTCCCTCTCTCTTCCCTCCTGCTTCCTGTTTTCCTGAGAAAATTGAAGCCCAGGAAGAGACCCTTCATCGGCCACCACGAGGCCACCCAGCAGCGCCCTGCCCCGCCTGGTCCCCTGGAGCCTGCTGTGTCTGGCCCCGTCCAGCACATCGCCCCAACTGCTCCTGAAGCCTCCATTTCTCCCTCTGTCCTGGGCAGTTGCTGTCGGGACCCAACCCTCCCTGTGTGTCTCCTGTTTAAGAACAAAACTCCCTCTTCACCCTGCTTCCTTCCTCCACGGACTGAGAGAGTTCTCAGTTGGCCTTTGTGGTGACAATCTGCAAACAGTTAGGTGGCACTCGCTGTCCCAAATTTACCTTTCCAGTCTCGGAATCTCCAGGCTCCCCCTCCAACCCCTTCTCTCTCTCATAATTTCTCTATGTCAATTGCACTTCAATTGAAAATCGTTTTAAATTGAGTGGTTGGGGGGGAATTAGTTAGCAATAAGCGTGAGAAGGTGGGCAAAAAGAGCCTTAGAAGAACCATAACTGTAGGTGATGAAGGATCTTTGGGGTGTATTCGAACTCTCCGTCGTGGATCATCAATACAATGTTAAATTGAGCAGATAGGTAGATATTATCTTACTTGACTGATATGAGACTTGTGGCTCCCAACTGTTCTCGAAGTCCTGGCTTTGATCAGATCTTTAGGATACGATTTCCAAGTGAACTCGTCATTGTAATGGGTCTGATTGAAAATAGGGTCATTCAGGAAATAGGTGTACCCTAATCTTCTGGTACTTTTTGGACTATAAGGAAAGAGACCAGAAATTAGATTAAGAGATTAAATGCTAAGTCTCACAATGATACACACATGTCAATTTTACCTGTTGTGTTTTTTAAAAAAATTAGCTACTTTAAGACTTGATGCCAGAATCATTTAATCTCCAGATTTCCCTGAAAAGAAGCAACCCTGCGTTTTAGGACAGCTCTTAACAAAAGTATGGGAGGCTCTAAAAATGACATTTAAAGGAATAGACATCTGAACTTCACTAATTTTCAAATGCATTTTTTAAAGAGCTGAGTATTCTGCATGAACAGTACTGCAATATGACCACCCAGGTGGTGAAGACGACTTTCTCTCTAGAAACGTCTTCCAGTTACTAAAAGGAATGAACTAAGAATTAGAGTGTCACTGGTTTGCAAGTCCTCGGTGAAATAATGCATCCAGGCAGTTTCCATTGACAGCTTAGAAAGAGGGGCCACCAGGTTTCACGTGCTCTGGATGGACATATTCAACATCACCCGTTAAATATTTTTGCCAAAATACCCAACCCGAAGCCGACGAAGACTTTGGGGTATCAGATTACAGGACATACATGAAATGGGGAATATTTTAAATGGCACAATGGGGATGAAATCAGAAAAATCCAGAACGATAATCTGTTCTTCAACAAAGGAATTCTCGGGGAAAAAAAAAAAAAAACAAGGGAAGGAGACGTATAGATTGCATGAGACAAGAAATGTAATAACCAAATGGAATTAATTTCCATCCAACTGTGTTTTTTTAAAAAAAAATATGAGACAGTTGGGGAAACTTGATCTCCGATTGGCTATATTTGTTATTAAGGAATTTTTTTTTAGGTGAGATAATGGCATTGTTATATATTTTTAAAGAGTCCATATAGATACATAAGGACTTTTCGAGATACATGAAAAATACTTAGAATTGAAATGATACACATGTGCTTCAACATTATCCAGTGGCCAGGCCGTGAGGAAGAAACACATAAAAAGTGTCTATGTGTCCTTGATGATGGAAACTGGGTGACAGCTGGAGGTTCACTGTGTGTATCTCAAATATTTCATATTGACTTTTTTATTTTTTTAAGGAGGGCTGGGTTAGATTCCGGTTACTTCTGTACGAAACCAAACATCTGGGAAGCAGGACACATCTGGATGGTGGACCGTTTGACTTTGTCACCCAGATGTGTGGGGTCAGGCAGGACTGTGGTCCTCTATCCAGGGGAAGTGATCAAGGGTACACAAAGATTCCTCAAGGGGGACAGAGCATGGGGAGCTTTAGAGGCGTCGATGTCCATCTCTGAGTGTCCTCCGCCAGCGGGCACCTGCCCGAGAGCAAGCCTGCACGGTGGCGGGTCCTCCCTTTCCCACACCCTTCCCCACTCGACGACACCACGTTTCTTAAGAAGGCACATGACACCTCGTACACCCGGGGTCTACGCCTCCAACCTGAGAGGCGCCCCGCCCCGTGGAGGAAACCTTTGTCCTAGATTCCAGGGCGGTCTCCTCGTCATCCAAAGCCAGCCACCGGCCTCGGTCTCGTGAGGGTTTCTGAGTACGTGCAGGGCGGTGCCAGAACCAGAGTGTCATGGTACGTGAGGAGTGTTCTGAGCTCAGCCACGCTGCAGTGGCATGGCCGAGAGCAACGTCTGCTTTTCCATCTCCTAATGATTATAAAATGCTCATCCCTCTTTAGGGAGGAGCCTCTCAGAGGAGAGCAGAGAGTATAGCATGCTTAAAATGTCTCTTTCCCCCTACACATTTAAAAGTAAGCATTTTTTTTTTCCGCTTTAAAAAACAGTCTCTAAGATACATTTTTAGCTGGAAACAAAAGCATGTCTGAGGAGATGGAGCAGGACAGGGTGGCGGTGGTGATTCTTTCCAGTGTAACTGCCATCTTTTCTGAAGCCACCAGATTTAAAGACTCACTGGGTAAAACTGGTACCTAAAAATCTTGTGATTTTTTTTTCTTCGAATTTTCTATTCGTCATTCAATGAGGTATTTATATCTTATTTTTTAACCTGATTTTATTATGAAATATTTACCCCAGTACAGCCAGTCTTCACATTGTGTTGTCAAATATTAATAATACATGACAATATGTGCTGGCTTGCCAGACCAATTAATTTTCACCATATGTAATTTTCTCTTTCCTTAAACGCAGAATAAATGTTTGATTTGGCGTCTAAAGAAATCGATGAAATTGTTTCTGATTTTTATACGATTATGATTTAAGCATTCCCTATAGACAAGCACCAAAGGTCTCCACCCACGAGAACACGTTTAAGAAACATCAGATTTTTTTAAATCATACTCCTCACTTAACAGATAACTTACCTATTTAGCTATATGTTTCATTGCATTATTTTTATGACTAGAATATTATTAATCATATCAGACCTGAATATTTTTATACTTCCATGTCTACTTTTAATTACCTTCCCTAAAACATGCATTCCACAATTTATCAGTAGTTTCCATACTATTCCTCGAAATGCACGTTAATAGTTCTTTGAACTGGAAGTGTGGTCAGATTTTATTTCGATAGTTAGTAAACCTAATTTCGCTTGTTAGTTTGACTACAAGGACTCATTTTGCCAACTAGTTAAACCTGGTGTAAATTATGTGAGTTAAATATTCAGCTCTGAGATTTTGATAAAACTATAGTTAAAGAATGTGATGACAGAAGCCTTTTATCAAAAAAAATTTATATTGGAAAACATTTAGTAAAACTAATGTTCTCATTTTCTGAGTCCTTTTAGAGTATATAATTTTAAACGAGCTTCCTCCAAGAAAGAGAGGAACAGATAGAATTTAGAGGCATTTGGTAAGACGAACTTTTCCAGGATACTTCTAAGAAAACGAGACAGGAAATAACTCAATAACTGGATGACAAATCATCTAATTATTTGCTTTCAATGAAATTGAACGAGTACTCAACCAAGGTGTCAGCCAATCAATCATTAAAGGTCACCTCGTGATTTTTGGCATATAACTCAGAAAGAGCTCAGAGTATTGAGTGACAAGGCTACATTAAAACTCCCTTTGTTCACGTCATCTTATTTATTTGAAGTTTCTTAACACCAACCTCTGCAATTTAAAAAAAAAATTAAAAAGCAGCAAAAAAAAAAAAAAAAGAAAAGAAAAAATTAATGCCGAATCCCGTCTCATTCTAGAGATAAAAACATTCAAAACTGGATACATAAACTGAAAACAAAACAGCCCCATTGATCTCATTAAGATGCAGCTCCAAAATGGTTAATTTTTGCATTTAGTAATTATTAACATGTGTAATGTAGTTATTGCTTTGAGTAATTGTGTACTACAAATAATTGTGATGCTCAATACTTAGAGTCACATAACATGTTTAAAAATTAATTTCAATTAATATACTAAAATAGTTGCCGAGAAGTATAATGGAGTGATCGATAAATTGCTTTCAAACATAAAATATATTGCAGCAGGGTAAAATTTTATGGAGGAAGTAGAGGGGGAATGAGAATTCAAGGAGGAAAAGGAATGAGATAAATGATCTATTAAAGAAGAGCTTGTGTATTTTTCTGAAGGATAGTAACGTGTATTGATTTCCTAGGGTGTTTAGATTCCCGGTTGGTTGTTTTCAAAGGAATGACCCAGTCGTTTCATTTTTAAATGTCAATATGTAGGATGCGCTGTAAGTTCTATCTTTTGCAACTATGTACGTTAACGATAAAAACGTTTCTGTGAACACAAATGTGTGGATTGGAGGCCCACCCACCTGGACTTCCTTAGTACCCATTTGTTTTTGGCTTCGTCCCAAACGTTTTCTCTCCAGACGACTGTTACCGTAGTCTGGGAAGCTGGCAGAACCATTACTGTCAGGTGATGAAACCCCCACTTAAGGGACATCGTGTGACTCAGAGGGAGAGCCAGTAATAGAAGTCTTACAGTCCTGTCCTTTTGCAAGTCTGTCAAATATTATGCTGGGGAACAGCGAACGAACAATTTTTGAGTAACTTCTTTGGGCTCGTCGCCTCGGAAAAAGCACCAACCTTTAAAATGAGCCCCGGGGTGGCTTGTTACCTGCCCAAGGCCGCAGAGGTAACGGGTCAGAGCAGGGGCAGAGGTCAGAACCCATCTCTGCCTGCCGCAGGGCCCTGGTCCTGCCGCTCCTCCATATCTGACATCTCGATCGCTTGAACTTTTAAGGTGAAAAGATCCTTTTTATCGGAAACACTTCAGGGAGTTCACACAGCCTAGTGAAGTTTCTCCGGGTTGATTTCCCACCTGCCGCTGATGCCACGCGAGATGCCGGGCTCTGTCATTCCACCCTTACCCCCACCTCCCACCCCTCACCCTCCAATGAGCTGCGAGAGCAGCTGACGGGTAGAAACCCCCACCACCCACTCGCCCAGGTGGAGCTGGAGACATTGCGAGCCAACGCTTGCAAAGCAGAGCAGTGGAGCTCAGGATCCGGGGCTGGCGGCCTCCCTCCAGCCTCCAGGACCCACGTGGCCGGACACGCCAACTCCTGACCATCTGTTCCTTCATGCGGCCCCCACTGCCTGCCTTCACGGCTCGGGTAGGGGACTCGATTCATACTCAGGGTTCGGGGAGACCGACTCCACCAACCTAGTTATTGTTTTGCTGTAAACCGTGACACGCGGACACGCGAGGAAGAACCCACGTGTCTGCTTTCTTAGCTTTCCTGCAGGAAGGAGGTTTGGACGCTGGAGGGGGAGGAGGACTCTCTCTGATGCTCAGAAAAGAATGCATGTCATGGGCCCCCCCTGAGTGCATGTTCCATGAGCCTTCTTGGGTTATTCTTTCTAATTGTTTAGAATTCTACCTAACAGGGCACCAGGGGACAAATTACAGAGTGCGCATGTCAGTCCGATTCAAGGAGGGCTGTACCGAGTTAAAGGTGGCACGGTGCCCGCCTTGGGCGAGAATGCCGTCTTCGTGGTGGTGGCATAGGAGTCCCAGCGGGTGTCACCTGTCGAAAGTACGAGAAAGCAGTTTCAAATGGGTCAAACTGGCAGACTCTGATCAGATGTCGTTTTGATCATTAAAATCGTTTTTGCAAGAGAAAAGCATTTGGAATAGTAATTTTGAGTCCAGAGGAATAAAGAGCTACTCGTGGCCTCTGCCGGGAAGTGACGCTCAATTTAATTATCTGGGTTTCCCCCTATAGTAAACTAGGTCTATCGTTTTTCTTCAGAATTCATACACGCTATTTAAAGAGTTCAAGCGCTATGTAAAAAAATGCTACCATCTTTAAGAGGTTCACTCTTTCTGATTTAGAGACCAGCTTCTCCTACATCAGACATACCTGTAAACACACGAAAAGATTGTGCACAGGGGGCTCAGAGCTTGCACGTCGGGTTTCGGCTGAGACACCATATCCTTGCTCCTTCTTCTCCCTGCTCATCATCCCCCTCCTCCCCAGCCCTCCTCCCACTAGCCCATGTTAACCAGTGTGCCTTTCCTTTCCTTTCGTAGCTACTGATAGAATCATATACAGATTTGTATGCACGTGTATAACTATGTTGACCTATGGGGGTTTAGTTCTCACCATTCTGTTCTACAAAAATGGGCTCATCTTACACAGAGGGTCCTTTGCTTCTGCATTTAGCCGTGTCGTATGGGAACCCCGCCCCCGCCCCCGCCAGCTCATCTCGGGCGCTCTAATTCATTCTCTAAGGACTGTGCGAGATTCTGCGGTGTGTGTTGTTTAAAACTGTGAGAGCGGGTGGGATCAATAAAGGAAGGAGCATAGTTAGAGGGGATGATACCTGGGGCACACCTGAGCACACCTGGGGCACACCTGGGCACACCTGGGCACACCTGGGCACACCTAGGCACACCAATGAGAGGTTGGGGAGACAGGAGAAGCCAGGGAAGGGGCTGAGAAGAGCAGTCGGTGAGGCGAGAGGAAGACCAGGCGGGGATGGACCCCCCAGAGCCAGAGGAAGAACGCCTTTCCGGGGGGAGGGAGGCATCGCCATGGCAGACGCTGGCCGGGTCCAGCAGGACGAGGACTGAAGACGGACCACTAGCGTCACAGCCAGAGTGGCTCCCCCTCCGCTAACCACAGAAGTCATCGCCCTAACCCCCACTGTCCACCCCGCAGCACCTAATTTCTCGAGAGTATATATTTTAAGTTCAATTTGGACCTTCTCTAAATCTTCACCTCTGGACGGTTAGTGACCCGTTGTCTTTTACATTTCTCTAGAACCTGGTCAAAATGAGCCCCTTAATGTTTGAATAAACTGCCATCTGGGGTCCGTGGCCTCCCCTGTGGGACGCTGTAGCCACATCTCATTTGTTGCCTGCGTCTGCCCCCATTCATGTGTCCTGAAGACAATGGCTGTCGAGTCTCTTTCTCAAATACATTTTTGATTGCGCAAATAGTCTTCAAATCTGCAGGCCAACGCCAAGCGTACAGAGCCCCGAGCAGACGTTTAGTTTTGGCCATGTGCATACTTTTTACCTTTTGCCTCCCCATCTCTCCCGACCAGGGCTTGTGTTTCACTGGACCGGCCCTTGGGTCCAGCCGTGCAGCTGGATCTGCTCACCTGTGGCTGTTTACCTGGTGCCTTCACAGCGGTCAAAGTCCCCCTCCCCCGAACCCTGCACTGCACACTCACACGGGCTCCTGGTGCCCGTGCTCTGGCCCCACTGGAGAAGAAATGACATCATCCTTTGAGACTCCTACTCTCGTGGGAGTCACTTAATGTTTTCAGGCATTTTATTCCCAGAGCAGAATTAAATGCCTTCGGTTAAGAGGGTGTCAAGTGTGGACAAGGAAGTGGGGAGAAGCGTGAGGCGGGGCTGCTCCTCAAAGAAGCCATCATTTAACCTGACCAGAACCTCCGAAGGACCTGGCGGCCACCAGAGAGGCTGGAAGAGGCAAGGAGGGGTTGTCCCCTAGAGCCACCGACAGGGGGCACAGTCCGCCAACACGTAGAGCCTGCCTCCAGAATGCAAGACAATGCATCTCTGCTGTTGAAGCCACCAGTCGTGGTAATCTATGGCAGTCCTGGAACCAACACAGCCCTTCGGAGCCCAGCATATAGCCATAGTTCAATAGCACTTGGCCCACACAGCCATCATCAGCCTCATCCTTGTCTGGGGACAAAGCCGGGCAGTGACCCAGCGGGCCCACTCCGGAAGGGAGGATGGAGCAGCACAGAGTGGCTGCGCGAGGCCCCAGACTGGATGTTAGGAGGCATGTTTTGGAGAGGCGAAGAGGGAGGGCACATTTGGAGCAGAATCAGTCACATTGGGGCGCCTACTATGAGCAGCAGGGACCCTCCTAACTGAGCTGGCGAAGACGAGGAGGGCAGGAGGGTGGTTCTGGGCATGTTGAGTTTGGGACCCTTCTGTGACATCCAGGCCGATCTGGCAGATGGTCGACTATCATGCTCTGAAAATAGAGAGAACATCCCAACTAAGGGCACAGATGAGAGCCCCCTTCACGTAGAACTGAAGCCCTGTGACAGGTGCGGCCACTCACACAGGGGACGTAAACAGAGAAGGATCAATCCCGGAGGACTCCGGCATTTCTCGACAAGAAGGGGGAGATGAGACGGGGGGCTGGAAAGGGAGGCAGCAGCCCGGAAGGAGTGCAGTGGGGGCACCCAGCAGATGCTCCCCCCCTTATTGCCCTGCCACCATGTAGAAACTGGGGGTTTTACCTATTGCTCATACTCATTAAGCATTTCCATGTTCTATCCTTAACTGACAAAGGGGTGAATGGAATGGAGAACACGTTTCATTCATTCTCGTGGGACTACAATTACGGGGAATTTGCAGTGGAACCATCCCAACTCCTCCGTAGCCACCGCGGAACCACAATCGTCCAGCTAGAAGGCCGCAGAGCTGGCCACACAGTAATGGAGCCGCTAGCATCGCAGCTCGAGTGGATCTCACTCCACTGACATCGACAGCTGAGTTAGGAAACCGGCCACATTTGCATGCCAAAGTAGTACTTCAAGCACTCGTCTGTTAAATACAAAAGCACTTTGAAAGAAAAATCAGCAAAGGTTAACAAGGGACAGCTCAAGGCTGCTCCCAGCCTCTGCTACAGCCGTGGGTGTGTGTGTGGGTGGTGGGGAGCACCGCCTCTGTGGATCCCCTTGGGGGCTGTGTCCCTGCGGTCTGCACCTCCCCACTTCCTGAGCTGTTTCCCAGGGGACCAGGACACCTGCGGGATCTGCTGTCTCCAGCTTCTCCCCTCTTCCTTCTTTGTCTCTGCTTTTATTCTTCTGGAAAGGCGCTAGCCCCTCCTTTTTCCTGTCTCCTCCCAGCCGAGCATGGAGCATGGCATGGGGTGTGTAAAAGTGCCCGGGCATTCTGGGAGGGGGCTGGCGGAAAGAAGCGCGAGGCGCTGGGAACCGGCGAGGTTCTGAACGCCCCACTCAGTCCCCCGACTCCCAGTCTCCCCTTAACCCCCTAAACGGAGCGCCACCGCGGGGCAGCGGCAGACACCGCTGAAGCCCCAGGCGCACCCCATCTGCAGGGGGGACCCCTCCCGCCCCCGCCCTCAAAGGCTTACCTGGCTGGATCCGGGGGCCGCACTGCGAGGGGCGCTCGTCCTCGCGCCCAGGCAGAGCCATTCTTGCCTCGACGGGCAGTGGGGGCCTCGCGCCACCGGACTGGGCGCTGCGGCCGCCGCCGCTTTGTGACGCGTCGCCATGGAGACGCAGCGCGTTCTCAGAGGCTCCAGGCTCAGCCTCCGCGACGCAGGGGACCAGGTGCAGGTGCTGAGAGCGAGAAGGTGCGCGCCTAGAAAGATGGATGGATATCTTGCTTTCTAGAGCCCGCTGGTTCGCAAAAAGCTTTCCTGAGCATTGTCTCGTGTATTTGGGGAGAGGAACGAACCAAAGAGGAGGAGACGGAAGAGAAAGTGACGCTGTCAGATGTTCAACCGCAGCTTCTCATCCGTTCTGACGTTCAGCTTAAGCGAATGAGGGCCAAGTTGTCACTGAGCCTTCCCGCAAGCAGGACTCAAGCAAGAGGACAAAGGTCACCTCGTGTAGGTAGAAGCAGGACCAAAGTCTCTGAGAGGTTTTGGTCACCGGGGCCCAGGAATCAAGAGAGGGCAGGAGGGGGGAAGGTGTGTTTGGGAGGGGGAGTGGGCAGTCGGAGACACCTTCCTCTTCACCAAGCCCCGTGGCACCGTTTCGTGACTGTCCTAGTAATAGTTCTGCTCCCACCAGTGAAACCGTGTTAGAGTTTTCTCAGGCTGTGGAGGGTCTTTTATCTTCAGATTCTGGGCAACTACCTGGCAATTTGACTCATAGTAGGTTCTCAGTAATGTCGCATGCCTCTGGGGTAGGACACATTTACCCACTCAAATGCAGAGAAGGCACTAGGTGATTAGGTGGAAACTTCTGACTCCATGTTTAAAAAGCAATTTGCAACCACTCCTTATCCTTAAAAGGGTTTTTGTTACAGTGACATAGAACCTTAAGGGGACAGTGACATCGGACCTTGGGACAGTGAAGTAGCATAGAGGGACGGTTACCCAAGGACACGAAGAAGTTTATATCAAAGTAAGGATTTCAAGTATACATTTAAGGAGGTCTTTTTGTTTTTGTTTTTGTTTTTTTTAACAAGGATCTAAACTAGAATCTTCTGAGAGTTGAGTCTTATCCCTGTAATGAAATGACTAGCACACGTCTGAGACGCTCCCACTCCCTGGCAGTGAAGGGCAGACCGCATTAGGAGGCACAGGCTTTTGTCACTGTCGTTAAAAGGAATGAGTCCCAATTAGGATTTAGTAGTGGCGTCTAAATGAAGAACGTAACACCCAATAACAGATGACCGTCTAGAAACAGGAGAGCTAATTAGCATAGTGTAAGTTAGGAGAACTGTATTTTTAAAATAGAGCAGCGAGTATATAGAATCTTAGAAGTGAATCCTTAATAACATCTTACCTTTGCCTCCTCTTGGGTAAGCTGAGAAGTGGCGGGTGCATCATGTGTCAAGAACCCCTTGACTTTCTGCCCGGGGGGGGGTTCGGGGTGGGGCAGAGACTCCTCTGAGCCCCAGTTTCTTTATCCGTAAAACACGTCTACTAGTGCTGACCTCATCAGGCTGTGAAGATGACTAATTCTCCCGACGATTTATAAACGGTAAAAGCCACGCAAACCGGAAGTACGGCCTCTCTGTCTCATTGCTCTTCCGGTCTTCATGCTTCCCATCATCTTTCATTTCTGTCTCAGAATGGATTTTTGGTGCAGGTCCATCTTCTTGCGAGCACCACAGCACAGGGCAGTTGCTCGAGGCAGCCTCTTTCTATGATTTATTTTATTTTTTTTCATTTTTCCCTCCACAGCTACTGACTTATGCACTGCAGCTGAGCTGCATGATGGCAGGGCATTATGTGAGCTTGGGGACTTGTCCTGGAAGAGGAAAGGCTCCCGCTGAGTTCTCCATGATGCTGGGTGACAGGGAGAGGTGCCACAAGGCCGAGCAAGGGCCCAGGAGGCAAGAACAGACCCCAGAGGCCCTTAGTGGGGGAGTGGGGGAGCTAGGAGACGTGGGAACGGGAGGCCCTACCGTCCTGGCCAAGAAGCTTGGACTTCCCCTCCGTGTGTGTGAGATGACTGGAGAGGCTCAAGCCACAGAGCAAACGGGTCAGGTCAGAAGTGTAAGTAAATTCTGGCCTCTTTCCAGGAGTAAGAAAAGCAAGGTCCCAGAATAAGCTAACTATTCAGAAGCAAAGACGTCTAGTTCCACATCACCTGCCAGAATAAGCTAACTATTCAGAAGCAAAGACGTCTAGGTTACTAATAGGCCTTTTCTGGAGTTTTGAATTGATAAAAACAAACAAACAAACAAACAAAAACACTTGAGAATGGTTGTACTGAATGGATTAACTACTACTTGATTGTTTCCAGCTTAAATGATCACAATAAACGATCACACACACGCACACACACATGAACATGAAGTGGAGTGGGTCACAGAGGGAGGAGACAGCAAGCACAGAACACTCAAATTTGAGCTGTGAAGGGGAAGAAAGTCTCCAGCTGGGGGTGAGGGAGGGGGTCAGGTAGAAAGTTATTACTTATACGGGAGACGTCACCAAGATCGCAGGCCGAGGGTAAGGAGCAGGGAGGGAGAGCTCCATGGCAGGCGGGGCCTGAATTCTGTTTTTCTGATGAGATCCCCAGGTGAGGCAGAGGATTCGAGATGGACAGATGTCGAGCCTTGTCCCAGGGCCAGCAGCCTGGGCATCGTGGGGTCTCATTAGAGGTGGAGAGCCCCAGAGCCTGCAGCCTCATGAGACCCCCCAAGAGATTCCTGGGCTCATTCAAGTCTGAGAACCTCTGCTCCAGGTAATGCGAGGCCAGGTTGTCTGCTGAACGAGAGGGAGGATGGGAATGAATCGCTGGGAGAATTTAAAGAGGAAGCTGATGATGGACCCGTGAAAGACTCGGCAGGTGGCTGCTTCCAAAAGCCGGGAAGAGGTCACGGACCACGCACGGTGACGCCCACGTGCTTTGGATATGACTACGCTGAGTATAGTTCCTCTGGCTTCCTTGTCCTATTTGCCCAAAAGACTTTCTAGTACCACGTAGCATGCAACGCTTTGTTTAAGTGTCTCCATGTGAAAAAGAAGCGGTACGTTGCTGAGAGAGAGAGAGAGAGAGAGAGAGAGAGAGAGAGAGAACGAGTGAGCATGTGAGCATGTGTGTGAAGAGGGCTTTATTGCAAGGCTCAGGGCAGAGCTGATGAAGCTCGAGCCAGATTCTGTGCAGAATTCACTTTTGCTCAGAGCAGGTCGGTTTCCTGTTCTGTTCGGGCCTTTGGCTGGTGGGAGTGTACGTTGCTTTGAGAGAGATTGAGAGAGAGAGAGAGAGCGAGAGAGAACGAGTGAGCATGTGAGCATGTGTGTGAAGAGGGCTTTATTGCAAGGCTCAGGGCAGAGCTGATGAAGCTCGAGCCAGATTCTGTGCAGAATTCACTTTTGCTCAGAGCAGGTCGGTTTCCTGTTCTGTTCGGGCCTTTGGCTGGTGGGAGAGGTCCACTGACAGCGTGGAGAACAATCTGCTTCCTTCAAAATCCACTTTTAAATGTTAATCTCATCCAAAAACATCTCACAGAAACATCCAGAATGATGTTCAGCCAACCGTGGCCTAGCCAAGTTAACAACATAAAATTAGCCATCGCAGACTCAGATCTTCCTGGGGTCACTGAATTCTTACCTGCGACTAAGGAGGGTTATGGCCAAGGAGTCCAAGAACGATTGCTGTCCTTTTATTCAAAAATGCAGAAAAGAAACTGCTGGAACGTTCTCTACTTTATCAGGGCAGTCCAATTTAAGGGGGAGATTTTAAGCCCTGCTTCTAACGGGCTGCTCACCAAACAAACTTTCATTTTATCTATAAAGCTGTAACAGCAAGTATAGACTGTTGGTTCTATCAAAACCTCATCAATCCTGTATGAATGTCACCTCTCTCCTGGGCCACCTGTTCTCTGTGATTCTTATATTATTCTCATCTCTGGATCCTTAAGAAGTCAGCTGTCCTGGCCAGCTATCAGGTACTTACCAACGCTTTACACTGTGAGTTCTTACACGTTTACTTAGTTGGAGAATATCAAGTATGAACACTCATTTAAACTCTTTTATACCCACGTTTAACCATCCAAATGAATGTTCTTTTCTTCAAAGTAATAATTTCTTCTAATGGCCCTGCGTTGCTTCAAGCATTTAAAAAATTCTTTAGGAACTCCCTTCAGAGACGGGTGAGCACTTTCGAATTTCTTAAGTACAGGCGTAGCTTGGCAGTAAATTGAGTGTTTGAAACAGTAAAAGGACATTTGAGCTGATAACTGAGGCAGGCGATCGCGTGGGGCAATATCATCCCTTAGCCAAAAATCAAACTATAACTATAATGAGAAGAAAACGCCCCCATTCTGTAGAAAACGCCCACATGTTGCATTCTCGTTGGAATAAATTACTTCACTGTTCTTATTACTTGTACACCTGTCTTCTCTCCCAAGGCCAAGGGTGTCTCCAAAGCTTGGACTATGCTATAGGCACCTTTATACGCCAGCATCCACCTCAGGGCACTGCACGTCGTAGACGCTCAATCATACGGGTTGAATGTATGAATGAGTGAATCGAATGAATGCACTGCTTAGGTCGCTGTCACCCTGTAGATTTCTATTGATCTTAAACTGTTAAAATATCTGGTTTAGGCCACATTTACACCCAGATTGAGGCCACTTTTACCCAGGAAGATCTGTCCCCGCCCCGTAACTTTTCGCCGATTTTAAAGATCACCCAACGTCACTTTTTGTGATGTTTGCCGATACAGTACATCAGCGCAATGTATATATTGAATGACTGAATGTATCCGGTCCACAGTCGACTGAAAAAAAATTTTAATGCCAAGAGAAACCTTCCAGAACTTGACTTGGCTCCCAGGATGGTTATTGATGGGTTTTCTTAACTCAGCTACTTACAAAAAATCTTTGTCAATTTTTGTGAATCGAGTTTCTATTTCCTTTGGAAAACACTTAATATTTGATATCCACGCAGGATTTGTTTGCACTGGCATAGAACTTGTTTTATCGTCAATGTTTCTCATTTTGTGCCGAGTCGAATAACAACTGTTTGTTCTCCCGTTGGGAAGATGCCTTCCCCATTCTGAAAGACCATCTCAAATTTCCTTTTTTTTTCTCCAAACACTGCACTTTTTAAAAACTCTTAAAGACTCTTCTTGAACAGGGGCTGTGAAAACCACAATTCTCTTTGTAACTGAATAGGTTACGAGGCAAATATACAGAGCACGGCGGAAAGATCACGCACACACTTGGTCACAGATTTAATCAGTTCTCTGTTGAATGACGAGACAAGGTTTAATTGCACGGAGATAGTACATAACATTTCAAATATAAAAAAAGTACAACTGGTAGTGCTATCAACAATCAGACTTTTTTTGAAAGGATAGAAAACGTATACCGAGATCCATGAGTCGTCCTCATCGTCACATAGGTGAGGAGGAACCTAGTGATTCATTCATGCAGGTTTTATATGTGGATACGATGATTTTTTTTTTCTTTTTGAAGAATTCTTTTGTGGCTATGAGATGAGAAACATCGCACGGACGTAATAATGTATATGGTCACGTCAGAGTTTTCCCTTATTTTGCTTTTAATGGTAGGATTACTTAAAATACCCAACCGACATAAAGAGGACACTGCTCTATGCATTATCCCTCCCCTGTCGCTGTTTGGTACCGCATCACCCGGCTTCTTGGTTAAGAGGGAGGCCAAGGGAGTCCAAATTTTAGGCAGCGAGTGGCGAATCGGTCGGCAAACCTTACCGGGAATGGCTCTCCTAAGAGACCCGATAGGCAGGATGAGAAGCATCCTTGCCATCCAGCGAAAGGTGTCACAGGCATTTTTGCCCAGCCGGGTTTGACGCCATGCCGGCTGGGTCTGGGTCCAGACGAGGGTGTCCCAACCTGATTCATGAGGCGCCAGGGGCCAGCGCCCAGTGAGCCCGCTCCAGCGGCCAGGGTCCCGAGCAAGGCACTCTGGGTGGCAGGACCCTGCCGCTCCCTCTGCCTCTCTGGGGACGTGTTCAGAGGAGGGGACCCTCCTGGCCATAAGGCCAGAGGCCCCGCCCCCTCCTGAAGTCAGCTTCTGGGGCCTGCCAGGGGGCACCCACGGAAGCGGGAGGCGGGAGGACGACGGGTAGGAGGGCCTGCCTCCCACCCCTACTGGTGTCCCCTCGACCTTCAGCCCTGGCCCTGGCCTGGAGAAACCGCGAAATGTTCAGGCCGATCAGAGAAATGGGTTGGGAGTCTCTTCAGATTCCAAAACAGGAAACGGCAATTCTTCCAACAGAGGCCCCGTCAAGGAAGCTCTGGGTGACAGGCTGCAGTTAAAAACTTCGTCTATGGAACCTGGGGGAAGGAAAGCGGGCCGTTACCGCCGAGGGAAACAGAAGCAAACCGACAGAGCTCACGCCGCGTCACGGTCACAGGGGTCCCGGCTTCCTCAGACACACGCCAAGGCCACACCCACGGCTCGTGCTTTGCTGCCGGGACACGGGTGGCCGTTGGCTCCCCCATGGGTGGGAGGCGATCCGCAGTGAGTTGCGTGAACTCTTTCTCGCTTGATGACAAAAGGCCCACAGTAGGGTCAGAGGTCGGTTTTTGAGAAGGAGGTGGAGCTGAGCTGACCGGCCCGCCGCACGGGGACAGTGGAGGTCAGGCCGGGCCCGTCTGCCCGGTCGCTGGTGGCATCTGGCCATGCCCTCTGCCACGCTAACGAGGGCTCCACGGGACTGTGGTCCCCACAGCTCTGAGTGCGGAGGTCTCAGAGCAAACTTCGAGGAAGCACTGCCCAGCTTCTGTGCCCCTGGGTGTCCCCAGAGTGGCAGCGGACACCCTGAGCAGCCTACGTGACGGAGGGTGAGCGATGGAGAAACAGTAAAACGCTGCCCAGGCTGCTGTGGCCAGTGGGCGGGGTTGGAGGCGCGTCCCGGGAAGGACTAGGCATCTGGGGCTGCCACGACCCAGCAATGTCACCTTCCCCCAAAAGGGTCAGCGTATAGCCCCCACGCACAGCTGCAGCGCAGCAGAGCGGGCACTCATCCCGGTAAGGAACACCCAGACAGAGAGAGGAAAGCAAGGAGGAGGGAGGGAGGAGGAGGGAAGGAGGGAGGAG